GATTACAGGCTTGAGCCACCGTGCCCGGCCTAGGTCCTGTTATTTCAAGACTCGAATAGGAAAGAGGGTTTTTGTTGTTTTTCTGTTAAAATGCATGGGTTTCAAGCCAGGATGATTTGCTTTCAAATCCTAAAGCCATTACTTAGAGGTTTAGGGCAAATTACTAAACTTTGAACCTCAACTTTCTCATCTGAAAAATGTAGATAATACCTACTCCAATTGTTGGTAAAAATTAAATGATTTAATAATGCAAAATGTCTGATATAGCATCTGGCATTTTAAGATCTCATACCTCACCTAATTCTCATTTGGGTGGTCAGAGGGCATATAAAGACACTGAATACCTGGGGATTTCAGGAGAAAGACCACTAGAATGGAAAACAAGCAGGAAAACCAAACCGTTTTTCAGTATTTTCCATGGTCGTGGTGGTGAAGATGTGTATTATCTGTGCAATTGGGATAATGAAATTTTCAGTGATTAAGACTGTCTCAGAATTTAGAATTTGGTTTTCAGAATGAAATTATCACTTAGAAAGTTTAATAGCCCCAGTTGTGAAAGGAATTCTTTATTCATTGTATTTCTACATAGCCACAGAGCCCTCTTCTAGGCCTGGGTTGGAGATAGGAGTGGTGTGGGATATGATCTGTGATTAGGGGCTAACAAGGAAAGACAGACATGAATGGCAAGATAGAAGGGCGCAGAGTTATAAGATGCTGACTTGAGAGGGATTGTCAAAAGAGCACATATTTGATGGCTAAATATGTACCAGAAATTTCTAGGCATAAAAGATTCTAAGAGATATAAAGTGTAATTCCAACTTTTGAAAAGCTTAAAAAATGGTTTACCAAATATATGTGAAAATTGGAGAAAATGGAAGATATATAAAGTAGTTTATGTGAAGTATCAAGTAGTTTATATATATAATTATTTGATAGGGTTGGAGAGTCCTGGGGAGCTGACTTTATTGGGAAAACTACACCAGAGGTCAGACTCATAGATCAATAGTTGATTAGTAGTGGAATTTTAGGGTTGGAAGAGACCTTAGAAGCCTACTAGTCTAACTTCTCAGTAATCGTAGCAATTCCTTTTTTATTTTTTTTTATTTTTATTTTCTACCATGGGGTCTCACTCTGTTGCGTAGGCTGAAGTGCAGTGGTGTGATCATGACTCACTGCATCCTCCACCTCCCTGAGATCCTTCTACCTCAGCCTCCTGAGTAGCTGGGACTGTAGATGTGTACTACCACTCATAGCTAATTTTTAATGTTTTTTTGTACATACAGGGTTTTGCCATGTTTCTCAGTCTGGTCTCAAAATCCTGGGCTCAAGTAATTTGCCCGCCTCAGCCTCCCTAAGTGTTGGGATTACAGACGTGAGCCACCATGCCTGGCCATTTATTCTTATTGATGATCGATTTCTCCCATTTTTGAATGGACGCCTGTTCAGCTTGTTCCTGGGCCCGTTTGACACCCCTAGTGGTCATTGCTACTTTCTGTGCTTTCTAGTAATAGTATGACAAGATGTTCCAAATACATCTTGTACATTTCCTGCTCAAATCTTGAACTAACTATTTCTCCAAAGAATTTTGGGCCCTTTTAATGAGAGATGCTATTTAGAGATTACATTCTAGGTACTAAGATTGCTTATTGCTTATGAGTTAGCCATGACTTCTAGGATCTTTCAAAGGACAAAGCTAGGAAGTATGTGATGGTTTTTTATGTGAGTATTCATCATAATATCATATGGATAATTCCAGTAGAAAGTAAGGATGCTAGACAAACTTTTTTCACTTAATCTATCTTAAATTTGTATCTTGTTTCTTCAGTGTTGGAAATCTCAGTTTCACAGCAACATAGTGTTATTATTTTACAGTATTCATACAGCAGTATTAAAAATACAAATACTGATACTGCCACCAATAATATGTTACTGAAAATATCTTAATGTTTTGCAGTCTTTTTGTCTTTAAGCTAAATCCCACTAGGCTATGTTTGAACTAATTCCTTTCTGTGGTCCTTCCACCAAGTCAATACATGGGATATTTTATTTTTTGTTTCGATTTTTAGGGATTGCCTTCTAAGTTTTTTTGTTTTACAATTATCTAACACAGGGGTGTCCAATATTTTGGCTTCCCTGGGCCACATTAGAAGAAGAAGAATTGCCTTGAGCCACACATAAAATACACTAGC